GCATTTTTCCGGCCAAGCCTGTTATCTCCCAGTCCCCCGGGGTGTTTAAACAGTTTCCCCAAAAATCCATATTTATTACTATTATATACCCCCCATACACACTACTACTACAAACTACTACTAATAAAAAATAATAATAATAATAATAAACTGCAATTTATAAACAGCTGACTACAAAGACTGTTTCTTTTCCTTTCTATTCTCTATTCTCTTTCCCCTGGTGGTTGGGAACTTTGTCTGCATTGTATACATCATGATAATTTCTAGTACATTTAAATACATATATGTAATTTCTAGAAGAGAGCCATAGGTACCATGAACCACGACCATCTGAGCCGGAGTAGTGTTTACGAAGACCCAGCCACCCCCCATTCAGGAGTCAATCTGAAGCCGCATCCATGGACAGTTGCCAAGTTTGTCACAACATACGTAGCAAGCTGTCGCCTGTGGCCAGGGACCCAAACAACACTAGGTTAGGCAGATATTAGTGAACATGGATGGGTGCAAATAAGACCCGCCTTTCATGGTCTAGAAGACCATGTTATTCTAAAGTTGGTGTTTCCCTATTCGCAACCTCCCCTCTTTCGTGTTTTCCACTCGCCTTCCTCCAATATCCTGTCAGAGGACCCCACATACGGCCCATGTCGTTTCTTAGACGCTTAACTTTATTTCGTCTTCAGTATGGCCACGAGTCATTCTCTGCTGTTATATTCTGGGACGAGACGTATACAATATCCTTCCCCCACCTTCCTCACCTTCACTCTCACTCACTGCCGTTTTCTATAAATGTTTTCCATAGACTATTTATTATTGACGTTGCCAGTGCATTTCATGTTATATTTACTTCTGGCTATATATATCTCGTTTCCATTGAGTGTTTACCTGAAGAGAGCTATTTATTTTCATGTCTCACCTTACCTATTCACCTTTCTGCATAATTAGTATTCCTTCAGCTGTTTTTCTCCACTTCCTATATAGTTAATTTATGTTCCCTCACCTCTCTTCTCTACTCAGCTTCCTGTATATTTAATGTTCCCTCACCTAATTTTTATACTTCCTGTATAGTTAATATTTCTTCGTCTCCTGTTTCTAGTTTAATTAACTGTGTGAGTGTTTTAGTTTTGTTTATACCATGTATCAACTTCCGAAAGTCCGTCCTGCAATCATCACCTTCATTATATTTTCTTTAAGGGGAAGCGCTTCATTAACCTGTAGAGATCACACAGCGCCAGGGGGAATGGGAGGCATTCAGGTTCAGTCCAAGGCAGAGGGAGGACAAGCCTAGTTCCCTGAATAAAGAGCTCCTCCAGGTAAAACTCTCTATTACCCGAGTGGTAATCATCGTCAGCTCCCTCCGTCTGCCGCCTCAGGTGGTTTTTAATCTAATACCAATTGAGCATGTGTGGTGGGTGATGTATGATGAAGCTCAAGTCCGGAGTGTAACACTTAGCTGTCTGTGACCAGAGTACTTCAAAATTCTGTCCCTGCTTTCTTATTCTAAAAAAAAAAAAAAAAACGGATACAAGACCCAATAGTGTCTTAGAGCAGCTTCCTGTACGTGGTTTCGGAACACTTGCTTGGTTACAGGGTGATGAGCGCTTTGCTCCCTGCTACTACTTGTGTACATTACATCCCCAAGTAGTTACTAGGCTCAGTTAATCTAATTTTTGTACATTCCCATTTCCTAAATTAAGTGATCTTAGTAAACATTTTGTACATTGCATCCTAACCACCAAATATTAAAAAAGTGAGTTATTGTACACTACCTCACTAACCAAGACTAATTAAAAAAAAGTGCCTTTACGCCATCCCTCAAATTAGGACTAGATCATTGCCCTACTAAACCTCAGCTAGCAGTGAGTACGCCTGGTACACTAACCTTAACTCCCCACCACCCTTCTCACTGCTGCTGCCACAACGGACCTGCAGATTCGTCGCTCTTCTAGCTCGCCTCCGACCAAAGGTAATACTTCCACAACCTCCCTACTCTCTCCCAGCCTCTTCTTTCTCCTCATCCTCCTCCTCCCACTGCACACTTTCCCATCCTCTCAGCCGACCCACCACCTGCCTTGTCACTTCCACTCACCCACCCAATTGGCACCACTTAGCCAAACTGGAAGAAGCTTTTTAAAATGCTCTACAGAAAGTCATTTTCAAACAAAAACTGGCGCACCTAGTTGTGTCAAGTATCCCAATAATAAATAATAATAATAATAATAATAATAATAATAATTAAATAATAATAATGAAAAAATAACGCCACAAATGTCTTCATCTTGGGGACCAGGCTGCCTTCACTACCAAGAGCATGAAGCTCTAGGTAGTAGCTTGCCTCAGCTACCAGCATAAAGCTCCATGCAGTAGCTTGCCACAGCTACCAGCATGAAGCTCCAGGCAGTAGCTTGCCACAGTTACCAGCATGAAGCTCCAGGCAGTAGCTTGCCACAGCTACCAGCATGAAGCTCCAGGTAGTAGCTTGCCACAGCTACCAGCATGAAGCCCCAAGCAGTAGCTTGCCTCAGCTACCAGCATGAAGCTCCAGGTAGTAACCTAACATAGCTTCCAGCATGAAGCTCCAGACAGTAACTTAGCACAGCTACCAGCATGAAGCTCCAGGCAGTAACTTGACACAGCTAACTAGCATGAAGCTCCATGCAATAGCTTACCTCAGCTACCAGCATGAAGCTCCAGGCAGTAACTTGACACAGCTACCAGCATGAAGCCCCAAGCAGTAGCTTGCCTCAGCTACCAGCATGAAGCTCCAGGCAGTAGCTTGTCTCAGCTACCAGCATGAAGCTCTGGGCAGTAACTTGCCTGAGCTAGCAGCATGAAGCTCCTGGCAGTAGCTTGTCTCACCTACCATCATGAAGCTAAAGGATAGCAGCATGAAGCTCCAGGCAGTAACTTGTCTCAGCTAACAGCATGAAGCTCCAGGCAGTAGCTTGCCTCAGCTACCAGCATGAAACTCCAGGCAGTAACTGCCTCAGCTACCAATCTGAGGAGGTTATTTTCGTAGTCTCTAATCGCTCGTCTCCTCTTTATGTGACTCAATTTCTTCAACATGCAATACGTTCGTTCTCTTGCTAGACACTTATCTCAGCATGGAATCCGTATTGTGTGTGTACTCACCTAATTGTGGTTGCAGGGGTCGAGTCATAGCTCCTGGTCCCGCCTCTTCACGGGTCGCTACTAGGTCCACTCACTCTCTGCTCCATGAGCTTTATCATACTTCTTCTTGAAGCTATGTATGGATCCTGCCTCCACTACATCACTTTCCAGAGTGTGTGTGTTTGTATGTGTGTATGTACTCATCTATATGTGGTTGCTGGGGCCGAATCTCATCTGACCCCGTCTCTTCGTTGGTTGCTACTGGGTTTGCTCTCCTGGCTTCTAGTGTCTATCGTACCTCTTCTCAAGCTATGCATACATCCGGCCTCAACCACCCCGCTCTCCATGTCTTTCCCACTTCCTGACTTCTCTAATGCTGAAGAAATACTTCCTAACATACCTGCAACTCATCTGTGTTCTCAACTTCCAGCTGTGTCCTTGTATTCTTGTTTCCCGTCTCTCGAACAATCTACCCCTGTCACCTTTCACTTTCTGTCAGTAATGCGTATGTTATTATCATATCACCTGTAGTATTTCTTTCCTCTAATGTCATCGACTTATTTCCCTTAATCTTCCTTCACAGGACATACCACTTGGCTCCTGGACTAGTCTCCTTGCAAACCTCTGCATTTTCTCCAGTTTTTGACGTGCTTGACAAGGCGTGGGTTCCATACTGGTGCTGCGTACTCCAGTATGAGTCAAACGTACACCGTATACAGAGTCGTGAATGACTCCTTGCTTAGATTTCTGAAATCTCGTCTTCGATTGTTAGACGCGCATTTGTCGCAGCAGCTGTTCGGTTGATGTTTGTTTAAAGCGATATGCTCGTAACAGTACTTACCCTGTGGTCCTTCTCCATCAGGGAGGTTTACAGCCTTTGCTCCGTCTGCAGTCTTTTTCCTCCCCCAAACTTCATAACTTTACACTTAAATTCCAGTAGAAACTTGTCAGACCAGACCTGCAGCCTGTCCAGGTCCATTTGTAGTCTTTCCTGGTCTTCACCTGTCTGTATTATACTCATTTTTTTACTTCATTTGAGAACAGAAATACTTCTGACTGTATCCCTTCCATAATGTAGCTCACGTATACAAAAAAAAAAAATAGCACCGTTCCTAGTACCCACTCCGACAGCTCGGTCACTCGGTGTTTCCTTCTGGTTAGGTATTCCTCGATCCATTGTAGTGCCTTCTCTATTATTCCTGCCTACTTCGCTAGCTTTTCTCACGGTGTGTGTGTGTGTGTGTGTGTGTGTGTGTGTGTGTGTGTGTGTGTGTGTGTGTGTGTGTGTGTGCGTGTTTGAGAGAGGGGGGGGAGGAGGGGAAGTGATTTATGCAAAAACTTGCAATGAGTCGCAGATTGTGCTTATGTTACAAGACTCATTATTAGATGATCATGTAGTGATAGGCTGCCTGTCTGGCTTGCGATTATATTTACAGAGTTCGAGCCTTCTAAAACGTCTCGAAAAAGATACAAGTATTCATTATGGCTATTTCAGATTCACGTACATTCATCTTTATTCTCAAAGTTTTACATGTGTGTATTCAGTATACATTAAAATTTTCAAAATAAATATAAATACACTGATTTAGTTTACTCAGTAAATAATATTAAATTTTCTTTCTACAATTTTGTTTTAAATTTAGATATTCACTTGGTTATCTGCTTCATTAGGTTTGAAACCTATCGACTACATGAGGGTGAATTTCACATGTACACTTCCATTCAGGAATACTTTATGACCTAATATAAAGATCAAGTAAACTCGTTTTATATACCCTCAGATACATATCACGATATATGTACACTGCGAGAAACACACACACCTCTCGTTGTGTATACACTAAGATACTTACTTCACAGTGTATATATTCTTGATGTTCGCTTCATTACTCTTGTGCATGAGCCAAAGTTAAGTTTGTTTTGTTATTGTCTATGTTATTATTAGATATACGAGGAAGCACAGAGGCTGTAGGGATTACACGGCCCCTGGGGAATAGGATGAAGTCAAGTTTGATCCAAGGAAGGGAAGGGCAGCTCTAATTCCTTGGATAAAGAACTCTTCACCAGTGTCAAGGAACCTCCCTAGATAGTGCATGAAGATGAGTGGCTATAAAGGCACTTCTTGAATCACTTGTGTTATCCATCAAGGGCATCAACGTGCTCTGTATCTAATAATGGTATAATGTTGGAAGAATTACCGACAATATGTAAAGTAAAGGACACAGTGCAACTAATGTGACATTAGTTGCACTTGTGTCCTTTTACTTTACATCTAAAGAATTGTCTTCTTTTATATATAAAGATAAGTACCTAAGAAGACACTTCGTCTTTATATAGCAGAAAACATTGCTGTTTCCATGCATAACTTAGTGTTTTTACTGACCCCAAAAAAATGGACATGCTAGGCTCTTTCATCTTTTATTTTTATTATTAAATTAATTTGGATAAATACCGCATTATATATCTATCCATCTATCTATACATATACATATATATATGTATAGATAGATATTAGAAAAATTCAGTTAATGTTTATCTTATTTCTGACTCACGAAAATCGTAATGACACGATTGCAAACAAACCATACCACGGGCGGGATTGAACCCCGCGGTCAGAGAGTCAGTGAGTCATGTTGACGGCATTGAGGGGACTTGAGCTAGAGTTCGTCACGGACACGCTAGCTGGAGATTCGTCTGTAAAAACTTGCATTTGTGGTCACAGTGGTGCCTATGCTAACCTTCCTATGGTGTAGAAATATACCTAGTTGGACGAATCTTATTGTGGCTAGCTGGTCCAGTGGCTAACGCGACGGTCTGGAGTTTTGAGACTGACCGCGGGTTCAATCCCGGCCGTGGTATGGTTTATCTTATTCTCTCTTGCAGCAACGTCTAGATACTTCACTATTTACATAATTAATTTCAAAAATTTACCTACAGTAGTTCTTGCATGTGTGTTGAATGATGCACGCAAGCTTAACCAGCACGATACATGTAAATTATCTGGAATTTGAGCAAATGAGAAGCCCATCTTAGAAAAATGTAGACTTTTTTCAACTAAGGAAGGATAATTGCTTCCCAAACAGCTGAACATGCAATATGAGAACGATTCACTAATTTATGATTTTAAACTTGCTTTAAAAATTGCTACATACATAAAATTTATATATGCTGAATTATATCGCAAACGATACCGGCAACAACCATTAAAAACAATGTTTTTCGGCCATTCTGATTTTATTTCCTAAATTGATATAATTTTAATGACCCAAAATTTTAACCAGATTATTAAGATTACAAATTAAAGACTCCACTGACCTGCTAGTATCCTAATCTTAGGTGTGTATTTTCTGGCAAACTTGCCGTTTAGAATGTTTACCAGGGCTTTCCAATGAGTAATATCATTTTGCTTGATCAGCTCTGATGAATCTCTGTGCATGAGCGAGGATCTGTTGCCTGGTGGTGATCCTGCAGGAGTTCAGCACCAGCAACTGTGTGAGGAGGACGTGCCTCTGCTGTCACTCACACCGCCCGGGGTGACTCTGTCATCAGGGTACACCTTTAGCCCTCTTCTCTTCCCACCCAGTGATCCTCCACCCCTGCTGGCAGGGTCACCACCTCAACTGGCAGAGCCATCACCTAGCCACCTCAGCTGACAGGTCACTACCTGTCCCACAGCTGAAAGGGTCACCACCTATCCCACCTCAGATAACAGGGTCATCATCTAGCCTGCCTCTGTTAACAGCGCTACTGCCTAATCTACCTCTGCTGACAGGGTCATCACCTAGCCCGCCTCTGCTGACAGGGTCATCACCTAGCCCGCCTCTGCTGACAGGGTCATCACCTAGCCCTCCTCTGCTGACAGGGTCATCACCTAGCCCGCCTCTGCTGACAGGGTCATCACCTAGTCCAAATCTCCAAACAAGTTCACGATCTAGCACGCCCCTACCGGCAGACTCAGCACCTAACACTCCTTTGCCAGCTTCACCGCCTCACTCACCCCTCCTGGTAGGGCTGCCACCCTGCCAAGCACAGTACTACAACCTCACACCCCAGGTATACACACCCTGCTTGCACGGCAGCCTTGGGTCTTTCTGTATCTATCGCCTAAGATTTAGGTAATGTTCTCCATATTAGTCAAGTATGCATATTTCTCACACGTTTGCTTGTACTTCATGCAGTACCACAGGTCACGCTGTCCTCTAGTTGGAATGTTCAATCTAAATTCTGAATTGTTTCAAAATATATTTTACGATTTTTGAAGTTAGATTTTACTCTTAGCCTCTCCTTAGTCGGTCATTTCAGAATTTATATTTTATGTAAATATATATTTTTAGATAAATTAGTTAATTTCTACATATCCGCTAGTGATAGCTTTTTAGACTAAGTTAATCATGATTACTGAATGATTTTATCCCTATTAAGTTATGCCACTGTTTATTGGAGCTTTATTATTTTTAAATGTCACGGAGCATAAAAAATGTGGATGTATCAGCTTGTAAATTGATCAGTGTCTCACGATATGTTGACTTTGCAAAGCTGCCTCATTATGTTACATTTAACATTTCCGGCTACAGGACAGACTCACCCTCACCAGTAACTTTAACTTACTGTCACCGCTTTCTCTTAAGAAAATTACATCTAATAATAATCTGTGAGTTCTCCATCATCAGGCGGACGATGAGGTAGAGCTAACACCTCACCTGGAGCAGCAAGACACCAGTGACCCCGCCAACCATCCACCCCTCCGTCAGGTAAGTAGTCCTCTTGAGCCTAGATACGTCCCCAGAAATTAGCAACGTCCCTCTGAGCCTAGCATCCTATTCAGCCAGAATAGCTATTTCCCAAGAATATGAATGGGATCATTGTTTTGATCCCCACGTTCATATGAGTTTCAGTGTTATGGTTGATTCTCGCCTCAGATGAAGAAGAACGGATCATTCCGATATCAGAAGTGTGGATGGAAAAGTTATAATTAAGTAGTTATGCACCTAGTGGTACTGTTGTTTGTATTGTTGAAAGCGCTGGAATTTTGTGATGGATTTGGAAAAAACCTTTAGGCTACATTCTGAAGGAAATTTCACATTTTTCTTTAGCTATATATTTTTTTTTTTGTCAAGAATTAGCGAGGAACCTTATCCCTCTCCTCATTCTTCAGCAAAAGCGACTTGCCTTGATCTCTGCATGAACATGGAGTGTAGCAATAGCCGCAGTTGACATTGGTTAGTCACCTAGTTTACTGTGACTGACCCTGGCAGATGGTGATTTTTTAAACAGTCCGGTAGCTGGCTGGCTACATTTTTGTGGTATTGACAAAAATGTTAGATAAATTTTTGGCTCATTAGTGATGGAAAGGTTGCTCCATCCAGTAATGCTGTATAGCCCTTGTGGCTTAGCGCTTCTTTTTGATTATAATAATAATAATCCACCAGTACTATGAGTATCACCGAGAGGGATACCTATAGTGGTTCTCGATTTTTTTTTTCGTTTTCCTTTCTGTAGGATTTCCATGCTGTATCTAGAGAGAGCTTCTTCTGATTGCTTTCAACTTCAGCACCGGCATCTTGGGTGAAAAAACAGAAAACAGCGTAAGTTTTTATTGATGTACTGATTACAACCGATTCCAGGTTGAGGGACCGATTACCTCAAACTCTTTCTGACCTTCACCATTCTTTTTTGTATTGAACTGATGAAGCCACTGTGTTGCAAAACGTTTTCCTCAGTAAGATACCCAAGTATTGCAACATGTGTCTAATTTATCAACTTGTCGGTTCTCTGATCCATTTATCTACGATGCAGCTGATAGTGATACATATGTAAATAATATTTTATAGGTTCTGCCCTTACCAGTTTAGGTCTGGGTTTCAGAACCACTGAGTGTCCTTAGAGACCACTGACATTTCAAAAGGATAATCTTTTCATACGGTTGATTTTATCAAGCTTTTAGTGACTAGCGCATTTTTAAACATATTTTCTTTCTTGTCCTAAGACTCGTAGTGTTAGTATATTCGTGTTTTGAGTTCTGTTGAATGTAGTGTGTTGTATCTGTGAGCCTCTAGCACTACATGACCTTTTGATCTTAAAACTTTGTAAATTTCACAATCTCACGCCCCCCTCCTCGTCAGCTTCACGATCCACTCCTCTCCTCAACTTCACGACCGCCTGCCCTCATCAGCCTCACGACCCCGCTCCCCCACTCCCCTCCTCAACTAACATCTCAACTCGATTCCCATACCAGCCTAACCGGAGACATTGAAATTAATCGTCGTCATTACTGTACATTATGTTGTCCCGTGCCTGAGAACAACCAAGCGTGACTAAAGGATAATCAAAATTTGCCTAGAAAGAAACCAGCGTCTGGTTTAAGATAGGGCCAAGTACAGCCAGAGTGAGGATCAAGCCTGGCTAGAGGGAGAACCAAGTCTTGCCACAGAGAGGATCAAATGACTAGAGGTAGAGCTAATTCTAGTTAGACCACCAGAACCTGACTAGAGGGGAGACCAAACCTTTCCTCCTATCAAGGGACAAATACTTGATTTGAGAGACAAAAACCTGGCAGAGGAAGACGTAAAACTAGCTACAGGTAGAGCCAAACATAGCTAGAGGTAGAGCAAAACATAGCTAGAGGTAGAGCTAAACATAGCTAGAGGTACATCTAAACCTAGCTAAAAATTCTAGCAGTGCTTGTCATGGCAGCGGCAAAACCCTATACTATATTTTTTCCAGGAAGTTAAGTATGTTCGTGTTGGAATTTAATTCTCAACCCCTTTTTCCATATTCTATACTCAATATTTTAGTTTTTTTTTTATTTCGCCCTGGTAATTGCTGGACCATCAGTAGTATAACACCGCAGAGGTAATGCTGTATATTAGGTATTGCATTGACATTTATTGCTAAAAGAGATGAGGAATGTTGATGGGAAAGAGTAAATAGAGTTAAATCGAATGTATTTTGGAGATCCAGAGCTAAGGAAGGTGTGGAAAATTACATTTATCTGAATGTAACTCATTATGTACATAACAGTAAATGATAACAAAGATAATTATTATTTATCAGTTACATAGACAAGTAGGAATTTGGACACCTAGGTACGCAAAAATGTCCCCCTTCGATACCTACAACTGTCTTACCACAAGTTGCTCTAGACCTATTAATTACAAATGAAATATGTATCACCAGAATTCTGGAAAATATATAACTTTGTGGACTGTAATATTAAAATTAATAATTGATTATATATATTAATATATATATATATATATATAATATACAATTTACATAACAGAAGGAGAATATATCTTAATATCACTCACCAATTTGACTGGAGATTAAGGTGTATCATACTCAGAAAACCTCACTGTCTATACATGAAAATAACACTGGCCAGAAGTTAAACATTAAACAGACTTATCTGAGGTTCCTGGAGCTGTCTTGTCCAGTCGCCTGATATCTCAAGTTATGCAGGAATGCACATCCAACAATTTCGGCTCCTATTTGAGAGGTGTCAGCCCAATTTTACCTGTAGAGCACGAAAATTCTTCCCAATATTCACTAACGTTTGTTACTCAATTCAAAAAACAATGGCGAGTCTCCTCTGCGCAGGTGCAGTTTCCCATTTTTTATAAAAATTTTTATTAAATACAGTATGGCCATCTATTTACATATAACTACCTGGAGTTTACCTGGAGAGAGTTCCGGGGGTCAACGCCCCCGCGGCCCGGTCTGTGACCAGGCCTCCTGGTGGATCAGAGCCTGATCAACCAGGCTGTTACTGCTGGCTGCACGCAAACCAACGTACGAGCACAGCCCGGCTGGTCAGGAACGACTTAGAGGCTTGTCCAAGCTAGCTTGAAGACTGCCAGGGTCTGTTTGGGAAACCCCTTATGTATGCTGGGGGGCAGTTGAAAAATTTTCCCGGGCCCCGCACTTAA